GGCCGGGACTCGAACCCTCGACCTCCCGCACAACACAATCCACCTGGTCAATTCCACCAGTTTCTTCCTTTTTTAAGCACCGTTTTCCTTTAAAATTCAACACACCAAGGAAAATGTTTCTGTGAAAACGGCTCAAATATCACAGTTTAACCTCCTTTGCATGTTACTTAAGTTTAGTCGGCTTAGTGTGTTACTTGCATTTGTGCTGAAGCTTCTCTAAGGTTTCAATTAATGCAACGCAGAATGCAACAATACAATGAACCCGAACAAGTGAGCAGTTCTTCGAGTAAAACGTTGAGGAAAGGGTATATGGGGTAGTTCCAAACTGAAACTATTACTTTAGAGGAACCCAAGACTGGATATAAATTCTGATAAAAATGATTGACATTAAGTGTATTTTTTAACAGATCACTCATTTGCTGAGAGGAGAAATGTTCATCGACTCGTTAGGAAGTGGAGTGGGTCAACTTCAGGTAAAATGAGAAATGCTTTTCATACTCGTACCAAGCAAGTATTTTGTTTGAGAGTATTTCGAGTGGGGGTCACAAATCAAAACCACCGTAGTCGCAAAATAGATAATCACAAGGGGCAAATGTCAAAGAGAACTCGTAGTGAATAAGTGTAAATGGCTTCAGGTGTGGGAAAGGGCGGACAAACAAGGCGTTATTAGTTTCAGCTGTCCATCGGATTGGCGAAGAGAGTGGCGGAAGTTTCCGCTAGACCAATCCCTTAGCGAAGTAAAGAGGAAATCATCACGATCCAAGTTTATACTCGAAGCTACGTTATAAAGTGCGCTTAAGTGAAATAAAAACTTAAGGCAATGCTATGAAGTTGTATGTAAAATCTGTTCACAAGCTCTATCTTCCCTGCACAAAAGCTTTCCAGTCAAAAAATCAATTTGATTTCCTTGCAGATTGAAGTGCGCCACAACGTACCGTCGCCCAAAAACGAAACTTGTTCCTTCTCTCTGAAGATAGAAGTAAGAGAGGAGTTTAGAAAAGACAATGATAAAGGCGTGCCAATCGCTGGACGCTCAAGGCAGAGAAGAGATTATGATGCAAGAGATAGAAAAGCTAGGAAATGCAAAGGAAAGAAGAGGAAGAAAGCGTGCAAAAAGAGGAAGAAGAATAAAAAGCATCATAAAAAGCCAAAAACAGAGGCAAAACCACCAGATGCTCTGCATCTCAGGATCTGTGTAAAGTAAGTTTTTTTGCTGTCATTTACAGTTCGTTGATCAATTTTTGACAGGACATTAATCGCCACTGGACAAATACTTTATCGCTTTTCGTGGGTGCTTGCTTAAACTGATAAGCAATTAAAATACGTAAAAACGTTTCCTTCTGATCGCTATTCCCTGTCACTTTCCAGCTGAACATATTTACACGTAGTCGACAGCATTGAGTAGTTCCCTCACATAACTTACGTGATGTCATTACAGATATCTGAAGGCCGGTAAATCTGGAATGACAATAATGGATATTGGTATTTTCTCTGGCTTCACTCCAGATAAGGATTCACTTGTGGAGGTAATTCGAAAATTTTATATCTGTTTGTGGAATTTTAAACCCGTTGTGACGATGACTGATTATCCGGGAGTAAATTTTGGCTGGCCGCGCGCTAATTTCCAGGGCAAAATTTTGAAAGGAAAGCAAAAGAACAACCGCT